GCTCCTCTATGGAATATTGTGCAGCTATTAAAAATAGGTCTCTGAGGCCAACCAATAAAATGGCGATTAAGAATGCATAAGAGATGGTGTATATAAAAAAAGATGATTTTTTTTTATCACAATATGTCACACTTGCTTTAAAACATTTAAGGAGGTAGACCAAAATTTCAATAGTTGTAACAGGGTGATAAGCTTGTGGGCGATATTCTCCTTGATTCCCCACACCTTTTGCTGGGTTGTCCTATTCCTTTAAAACTGCAACAAGAATTCTTAAAATATATACATTCTACGTGCCTCCCCCGCAGATGGCTCCTGGAAGAGATGAGATGGTGTGCATGAGACGCCCGAGGCTGAAGCCTGACTCAGCAGCGTGCGGACCGGGGCGAACCTGGGCCCCGGGCCGCAGGGATGCGATCCCGCCCCTGCCCGGTTCCTTCTTCCCCGGCCACCGCCGCGCTGAGGAGCTCAGCGTGCAGAGGGCCCAGCCCTCCAACCCAGCCCCCGACCGCGCTGCCCACCCCCCGGCCACCCTCCCTGCGACCTTTCTCCTCGGCAAGAGGAGACCTCTTGCGAGCGTCCCCCGGCCGCCCACTCCGCGGCCCGCGTACCTCTTGCAGGGGATCAGCGCCTTGCGCTCGTCCAGCACCCGCACGCGCTGGTTGAGCCCGTCGTAGGAGAGCAGGGCGCGGCTGTTGCGCCCGCTGCTCTGCCGGTACAGAACCTGGCGGCCCTCCCACTGCTGCGGCGCCTGGCACGGACGCGGGGTTCCCGGGGCGCCCCCGGCCCCCGCCCCCAGCGCCGTCGCCCCCAGGCCGCAGAGGCCGCCCAGCGCCCAGAAGCAGAGGCCGCCCAGCAGCCAGGCGCCCAGGGCCTCGCGGGCCACGCCGAGCCGAGGGCGCCCCGACATCGCCGACCGCAGCGCCCGCCGCCCCCCGAGAGCCAGCGCGAGCCGCAGGGGGCGCTGAACCGCGCCGCCGCCGCGCAGCCTTGGGCCGGGTGCGGGAGTGCGGTCCCAGCGAGCTGGCTGCCTCCGGCCGCAGCCCACCCCCACCTCCGGTGGTTGGGGTCAGGCGCGCGAGGTGCGGGAGCCGGGACCAGGGCCTGGGAAGGCCCGGGTGAATCGCGGGAGCGGTTCCTGCTTGGGCTGCTGGCCGCTGCGGCTTCTGTTTCCACTTGCTCTCTGCTGCCAACAGGAAATGCAGTGGCAGCGGTGCCACTAGCATCCTGAAGGGCATCCGCGTTTGAGGGGGGCGGGGTGAGGAGCGGGATGGTGGGAAGGAATACGTGTCTCCACTAACCGAAGTGGGAGGCAGGTAACCACATACTAGGAGGCAGTCAAGTCCAAGGTCGGGAAGGCCAGGCTACTGCACTTGCTGTGTCCCCACACAGCTTGACCCTTTGTCAAAATTGACAGCTTCTTTCTCCAAATTAGAAATGGAAAGAAGGGTCCCTTCCTCAAGAAATGACGTCAGTCATTCATCCTGACCCTTTTCCTTTTCTTAGTATAGAGCCCAGGGGGCTAGGGGACAAGCCCTGGCTGTCGGGCATAGGACTGAGTCAGGGACAGCACCTTGAGGCCACACTTGCAGTGAGACTGCTACCCTCACCCATAACCTGACAAGACCACAACCCCAGAGGTATGTGACTCCGGGATTTTAGCATCAAGAACAAAGTTAATTGGGTTTATGGTTTATGTTTTGTAATATTAGGATGTACCATATGGAATTAAGAAAAAGAAGCAACTTAAAAAAAAAAGACCCTTGCTTTCCAAATGTATAGCATCTCTTCAGTTGATCTGTGTTTCATGAATGACGAAGTGAGCCAGGTGAAAGAGGGAGAGAACATTCCTGGATGAAGGACATGAGCACAAGGGAACATGGGTGTAGCACTTTTAAGGAGAGTAATTTAGAGCCAGATCACTCAGGGCCTTGAAAGCCAGGGAGGGGCACCATCAGGCCTAAGTCTTAGGAAGCTGGGTCAGATGTGAGGGTGGAGAATGGGCAGGGAGAAGGAGGAGGGAGATGTTGTTATAAATGAGATGAGGGACAGTGACGTCCGAAATGAGAGGGTGGAACAGAGCTGAGGGTAGAACAGAAGGAGGAAGAGCTTTCTGGTTTGGGGCCCTGGGAGTTCAGTCCTGAATGAGGAAAGAAGACAAATCAGTTTTGGATTGGTTGACTCTGAGATGCCTGTGGGATGTGCAGGTGGAAATACCCCAGGAACAGTTGGATAAGCACTTCCAGAAAGCAGCAGGGCTAGAGGGCTGGTTTGGGAAGCAATCGGCATCTGAGTGATAACTGAAACCAAAGAGGAGAACAGCAGGGGAGACCGTTGGCGATATCTAGAGAAATTGATTGTCATAGTGGGGTGGGGACTAAGCCGCCGCTGGCATCTAGGAGGCCAGAGATGCTACTAAACTTCCCATAATGCACAGGAGCCAATAAAGAATTATCTGGCCCCAGTGTCAGGAGTGCTGAGGTTGAGACTCCTGGAGAGGCAGGGCGTGTCGAGAGCGAGGACTGGGCATGAAGCCCAAGCAGAGCAGCAGGCCTTTAAGGAGACTGAAAAGGAACTGCCAGAGAGAAGCCACTGACCAGGGGAACTTCCTCAGTTACGTGAGCTATTGGCAAATCAGTGCAAAGTACAGGGTAATGGATTGAGTGCTAAGGCAGGGCCTGAAGACAGAGGCCAGTTGATGGAATCTCCTGATGACTCCTTCACTGCTGCCCCACCCCAAGTAGAAGCACTAAAGACCGGCTGCCAGTGGACCTCCTGGTGGGGGGGGGGGAGAGATTTATAGAGAGGGCCTCTTAACTTCTCCTCCCCCCTTCTTAAAGGACATGTCCTGGGGAACATCAGGGCAATGCCTGCAGTGTTGTGACTTGGTACTTGCTGGGACAGACGCAGCAGGTTCCAGCTGGCTGCGCCAAGGACAGCCCTTTCCAAGGTCGCCTCTTCCACCAACTCACGGGAAAAGGAGCCCGAGTTCAGCTGTTTCTCAAAACTGTATTTTCTTCCCCTGTAGGAATTGTGGCTGCAAATATTTTTCACTAAGCCAGGGGGTTTAGACTCATTGGATTTGACTGCTGCAAATGACTGAAGATGTCATCTGGGTTATCCCCTTTGCGTGATATTTCATTGGCCTGGTCTGGCATCCTGGGAGCTTGAGACTTATCTGGAAATACCTCTTTAGGTTGGCGTGGCTGTGTTTGGACGCTCTGGGCTTCCCCTAAACAGAACCCGACTCCTTGGATGAATCCTGAAATATATTTGTCATTTGTCCTCTCAACTTACCATGTTTAATTCATGTTCCCTAAAAAGATAAGATAGTGCATTTAAAGAGCCTAACACCACGCCCAGCCCATTGTAAATGCTCAATAAAATGCCAGCTGTATTTTTTGTTCTTTGGGCTATTTTAATTCTTAGTCTTGGTCAGAGTCAAAATTAAACTAACATTGTGGGTCTGAGCTTTGGAGCCAAAAAAAAAAAAACAAAAAACAAAATGAAAAAACAACTATCTGCCATATGTTCAGATTTCTAATTGAACTATGCTTTTATGTTTTTTTTTTAAAGATTTTATTTATTTATTTGAGAGAGAGAGAGCACAAGCTGGGGGAGCAGTGGGGGGAGAAGCAGACTCCCTGTTGAGGAGGGAGCCAGTGCAGCTCAATCCCAGGACCCCGACATCATGACTTAAGCCTAAGGCAGCCGCTTAACTGAATCAGCCTCCCAGGCGCCCCTGAATTATGTTTTTAAAGATTAACATTCAGAGACCACGTTTTCATATTCTAATGCCCTAAGAAAATATCATATACCAGAAATCTTACTGCTGAAGACTGATGTACATTTGCAACAATAAAGCCTGCGTTTCCTGTGGAGACCTGCGCCAGCAGTTGGTTTTATTACCTTTTCCTAATAAAAAATAAGAGAAAAGAGAACACAAAACATACACATTTGCCTTCCACGGTACACAACTTCTTAAGTAGTTTCAAGCACATCAAAAATCAAGATTCTAGGCTGCTGGGTTGGAAATCGCTTGGCATGAAGGGGGAAAAAAATCTTTCAGCTTGTGGTGTCCGGTGCTCTGTTTTCTCCTGGGTTCCATTCACACTGGAGAGAGGAATAAGGAGTGAGAAGAAGGAAGGGGAATGTTGGCGGAGGGAATACATTCCTAAACTAGAAGATGCTATTATTGCACCTTCCGGCAGTTCTGTTCCTGGAGCAGGTACAGACCAAATGCCGTTCTGGAAAAACCTGAGCCGAAACTCATGTCTTCTAGTCACAACAAAAACAACAAAACCCAACTCCGTACAACGGGGCGGGGGGCGGGGGGGGGGGCGTTTGTTTATATAACGTGCCCATCCGGTCCCACACAGTAGTCTCGCCGCTTAGCGCTTCTCATGCCCCCTACTGGAGAAAGCAAGCATGATTCAGAATTAAAGGGCCGCAGAAGTTCCCATTTCCCTCCAACTCTGTACTTGGGGAACCTCTAAGGCAGAGAGGGCGCAAAGTTCAGCTTTGACCCAAATAGCGTCTTCGCCTCTCCTGCACCCTCTTGGATCCGGTGTCCAAAACGACTGCCAGACTCTGTTTCTTGGTGCGAAGAAAAAGGACTGGCCAGACTAAAAAGGAGGGACTTTGGGGAAATGCAGGATTCCAGCCCTGGGCTGAGGCCCGGAGGAGATGATGTCACCGCTCCGGCAAAGCGAGGGCTGGTGGGGGGGGGGGGGGTGCGGGTGCGGCCTAGGGGGAGCCCGCGCCGCGCCCGCCGCTGCCAAGGGAGCGTTCCGGGCCCACGTCAGGGGACGTGTCGGGATAAATAGGGTCCCGCAATGGCCGAGGCCGGCTGCGCTCGGAGCTGCCGGGTCGGGGACTGGAGCTGCCCGGGCGGGTCCGCGCCCCGCTGGCTGAGGGCTGGCGCTGCTCGCGTTCGTTGCGCCGGACGCCGGATACCCCCCGCCGCTCCCGCGGCCCCGCACCGCTGCGAACCGCAGCGCGGGCGGAGAGCCTCTCCCGTGCCCCCGAAGGACTTCCTCCCCGGGGAAGGGAGGACGAGAGACTAGGGGGGCAGCAAGCCGGGGGCCCCTTCTGCCGGTCGGGGCGGCAGCGCGCCAGCGCAGTGCCATGCTGCTCTCCGTCCTAGCGGCGCTGTGCCTGGGGCTGCGCCTGGCGCTCGGCGTGCGCGGCGCGCCCTGCGAGGCGGTGCGCATCCCCATGTGCCGGCACATGCCCTGGAACATCACGCGGATGCCCAACCACCTGCACCACAGCACGCAGGAGAACGCCATCCTGGCCATCGAGCAGTACGAGGAGCTGGTGGACGTGAACTGCAGCTCGGTGCTGCGCTTCTTCCTCTGTGCCATGTACGCGCCCATCTGCACGCTGGAGTTCCTGCACGACCCCATCAAGCCGTGCAAGTCGGTGTGCCAGCGCGCGCGCGACGACTGCGAGCCCCTCATGAAGATGTACAACCACAGCTGGCCCGAGAGCCTGGCCTGCGACGAGCTGCCCGTCTACGACCGCGGCGTGTGCATCTCGCCGGAGGCCATCGTCACTGACCTCCCCGAGGGTGAGGCGGAGGGGAAGGACCGAGGGGGCGAGGGGCATTCTTGGCTGTTGCTGCCACGTGAGAACCGGGCGACCACTTCTCCCGATGCCAGTGGGTGGACGGTCAGCACCCCCCACCCCACTTCCGAGGGTTGGGGGAGGTGGGAAGGGCTGGTGACCTGACTTTGGGGAAAAGTCTGGTTTCCCTAAAGGAATTTCGGAAGCTGAAGAACACCACGTCCCATAGATTATGTGTGTGCGGGGTGAGGAGGTGCTTATAAGTGAGCCACTGGGGGCATTGTTATTGACAGAGAAAAGCGGCAATGGCAGGTGGGGCATAGGATGGGGCTGAGCCAGCGTTAAGCACTTTACGTGTATCGTTTAATCCTGAAAACAGTCCCACCAGGATTCTCCAGTTAGTGTCAGCTCTTGAAAACTCTTGCCGAAAAAGGCAGTACCAGTCATCACTCCCCACCAGGAGTGCAAGTTTGTAAATTTAGTCGTTCTGGAAAATTGTGACGTCGGTTTCATAGTCAAACTCTGTGGCGTCTTCGTTAACTGGATAACAATTTTTGCTTCCTTTTTTTTTTTTTTGTCATTTTGCCGCTTTTCTAGGATGAAGGAGCAAGTTTAATTCCATTTCTTGAAATGAAACCTAAGAGCATTTTGCATGCTTTTATCCCTGACCCAGGTTCCTGCACATTTAAAGAGATTATGGTGTTGCTTCAGTGTAGTTTTTGAGGTTCTATCTCAGAGCATTGCCCAATACATGAAGGGGAAGTAAAGTGAAGGGAAAATCGAAACTCCTCTCTAATTCAAAGCTTTAGAAAAAAAAACATATTTATTGCTTACATTATATAAATGATAGAGGGTTATGCTTTGGGGGATTTACATATAGCTGTGGACTGTTTCTGCACTGCAAAAGGAGAGGTGATGATCTGGAAATATTCTGGACATTTTGATTAGTGTCAACTGTCAACTTGGAAAAACCAACATTTTAAAATGGATTTGGAAGGGAAGCTAGCTGTGTGTATCAGCCAAGTCAAATGGACACACATTCACATCAATTTGTGCTCAATGGGTAAAATCGCGCTCAAAATTCTTCTTTCCTAAGCCCAGGAATGTCTGTGTGAAAGAGGTAGTCGACAGTCATATGCACTTTTACGTTGTAGTATTCTTCTTTTGTGATACTGTGCTAGGGTGTGTCTCCAGACAGTTCTTTTTTCCAGCTGGGTGAACAGGCTAAGTCACTGACCACACCCATGCGGCTCTGTGTGTGTTTCAGACGTTAAGTGGATAGACATCACGCCAGACATGATGGTTCAGGAAAGGCCTCTTGATGTTGACTGTAAACGCCTAAGCCCCGGTGAGTTCTGTCACCTTGAGGTTCCCTTTCTGCCTCCCCCCCAGAATGGTTTCAGGACACTTTTCCAACTTCTCGTCTCTCTCTCATCTCCTTCAGACCGTTGCAAGTGCAAGAAGGTGAAGCCCACTCTGGCGACATATCTGAGCAGAAACTACAGCTACGGTAAGTCATCGGACACAACCATTCACTTGAGGACTTGCCACGTTACAAAGCCAGCCACAGAGCTGATGACAAAGGGTTTACTTATGTGGGTTCTCGACGTGGGTTCTCGATGGCACAAAGACAACTGTAAAATGTCTTGCTCTTTTGGGTAAATTAAGCAAAACCAAAGTAGATTACCCAGGGAGAACAGTGATGTGGATCAGAGCACAAATTTGCCTTCGAGGTCCTCCTTGTCTTAGGGAAAAAGGCCACTCAGCCAGGCCAGCCCATCTGACCTGTTCTCTTCCTGAGGTTTCCTAAAGGATGGGTGAGTGATCCATGGGCTGGATTATCTGAGGCCCAGAGGCCCAGGAACTAAGACCTGCCCATGTTTCTTTTTACTTATAAATACCTGTAAAAAAAAAAAAAAAAAAAAACCTGTAGATATTTAACATCTTAAAGGAATTGCGGGGAAATATGTACAAGTATTGACATGGTTTAAATCCCTTCCTCTCTTACTGGAAAGAACAGTCAGCACATTCTTCAAAGAATCAGGCTATTTTTAATTTTTTAAGTAAATTTAATTCTATTATCATTTGAAAGTAAATTTAATTAAAAATATGTTCTTTTAAAATATCTATTTGGGCTCCTATATGTACCTTTGCATCTCTTAAATTACTTCTGCTGAAATAACAGGAACTGTTTAGGCAAAATGGTCATTTTATTTGTTAACTTTGTTTTCCGTAATTCAAACTGAAATTTTAAATCATGAACTTTATGTAATATTTCATATGTGAAAGTAGGAAGATCATGGCCATATAAAAGACTGAAGGGGAGCCTGGGTGGCTCAGTCGGTCAAGCGTCTGCCTTCAGCTCGGGTCATGATCCCAGGGTCCTGGGATTGAGTCCCACATCAGGCTCCCTACTTGATGGAGAGTGTGCTTCTCCCTCTCCCTCTCCCACTCCCCCTGCTTGTGTCCCCTCTCTTGCTGTGTCTATGTCAAATAAATAAATAAAATCCTAAAAAAAATTAATTAAATTAAAAACATAAAAGTCTGAAAAACATAACCTTTTATTTGAATCGTAAGATTTGAGATTATACATAGCCAATGTGGGTAACTCAACCAAAGGAAAAAAAAAAGCACTGTCTTTTCCAGTAGCTTTCATTGTTGTTGTTTTAAAACTGTTCTTTGTAGATATTGTCTTAATCTAATCTGCTTTTTGTCTCATCTGACACTATCCAGCCCTCCTTACTAACCGGAGTTTCACTGTCTTGCTGTTGTCCATAACTACTTTGATGATGAAACGATTTCTATTTAAGTCCTTTGGCTTCTTCATAAACCAGCTTTCTAGGACGGAATCCAAGACAGATCCGTGCGAGGCTGATTACAATTCCATGGAAGGCAGTAATAGCAAGGGACCAAAAGGGCCAGAATTTTTAAAGCTTGATCAGACATGCTGATGTTAACAGCCATCTGTAATAACAGTTATACTTCTGCTCACCACAGACCTGGCTTTGACAGTCTGTGCAATTAAAGGATTGAGAGCAGTGATCTTCAGAGACTCCTTCCAGTTCAAAAATGTTATGATTTAATAACTTCCTTTGGAAGAGAGGAAATTCAAGCATCAGATGGGTAGTTGGACCATACAGACTTTAAAGTGGCTTCTGAGGGGCGCCTGGGTGGCTCAGTCGGTTGAGCGTTGGACTCTTGATTTTGGCTCAGGTCATGATCTCCTGACCTTGGGCTCCGGGCTCAACAGGGAGTCTGCCTGAGATTCTCTTTCTCCTCCTTCTCTGTCCCTCCCCCCACACGCTGTCTCTCGCAAATAATACATCTTAAAAAAAAGTGGCTTCTGAACTCAAGAACATATGATCCTCACTTCAGATGATCACAAGGCAGAGGATCAACAAATATTGATGTTCCTGACATGAATTTCCAGGTAGGATTTGGGCAAACAAACATGCAAACAAACGGGACTAATTTTAGGATTTTGAGGCTGGGAACAATCTGTGCCATTCTTTATCAGCTGCAGCCGATGCGGAGCAGTGGCCGAGCCAGTGGCAGAGCCCCGCGGGAGCCTGCTCGTCCCCCCACTCCTGCACTCTGCTGCAGGATCCGGGCCTCGGCAGACAGTGCTGACAATAGGATTATGTGGGCTCCTTGCCTGCGTCTGGGCAGCTTGGACATGACCATAATTACAGGAGGGATTCTTTAAGAGAGGCTCAGGAGTTGGCGCAGATGCACCATCCTTCTTTGTCTCCCAAGGCTTCATCAACACTTCTGTCACTTTTTTCAATCGCAGTCATTCATGCCAAAATAAAAGCCGTGCAGAGGAGTGGCTGTAACGAAGTGACCACCGTGGTGGACGTGAAAGAGATCTTCAAGTCCTTGTCCCCCATTCCTCGAATGCAGGTCCCACTCATCACAAATTCTTCCTGCCAGTGTCCTCACATCCTGCCCCACCAAGACGTTCTCATCATGTGTTACGAGTGGCGCTCCAGGTAGGCACAAAGGGGCAGAAGCAACTGCACGCTGCTTCGAGAAACGTGAATCTCATTTAGCAGGGATGGTTTATTAAAAAAAAAAAAAATGGCACCAGTAGTTCTTTTTTAAAAGACAACTAAATAAATAAATAAACAAATCGATCATTTTAATAGATGCCTCTGTTACCATATCACATATCCTAAATATCATTGAATTCCTCATGGTATTAAGGAAAAATCGAAATAGGACTATTTGAATGGAATCTTTAAAAATCAAGCCCAGAATTCATTAAGCGACTTCAAAAATCGTAGGCAGATAAACTACTATGAGTTAAAACAGTTCTTTTCAAACCATTCAAATCAATCTTAGTGTGGCAAATCCTGAATATTTTTTAGGAGCTCTTTAACAACTTACAGATCGAGTAAAGACGGCCATTTGAGATGACAGGTCCACATTTTCCTAATATACAATATAAATGTACAGTATTTGTTTGATAAACCATTACACACACACACAGTCAGACTCACACATACGCATATCTCTGGGAGTGTGCTTCCCCACCTCTCTTTCCTTGGCATCTTTTTATATACTGGTACATTCCTTGTAATGGAAAAATCAACCTCTTCAGACCAGGTTCCAGGAAGGACCCCATAACTTGCTGCAGGACACATCTCCAGCAAAATGACTCCTTTTTTATATAACTAGTCTTCCCTTTGATTCCCTGCCATTAATGCTTATCTGTTTCTTCTGGATACAGCTATGGACTGTTTCGCCAAAACCCCTTTTGAAACTGACCTCACTTGAATACTTCCTTGATCTATATCCTGTCAGTATTTGGGTACCATCCTCGCACTGTGTATACCACCTTGTGTTCTTGGCTTTAAAACTATTCTTCTACTTACACCTTGTCTCTCTGAAGAAGTTGAATGAATGAATGAATGTTGACTGAATGTTTCTGGGCTCATCTCTTGCATAGTGTTTGTATCTGCTACAGAATGAGATGCGGTTCTGGGACTCTACCAGACTGCTAGTCATTAAATCCTATTGGGACAGATGAATGGATTATAAATGAATTAAATAGCATCTTTCCTGTCATCCTTTCTGTTCACTTATAGACTTAATATAATTCTGATGAAAATACCAGTAAAAATATTTTTGAATGACTGGGAGTTATGTCTTCATAATTGATGCTGATGATCATTTGGAGGAACAAACGGGCAAGGGCATGTAAAGGAGATTTTGAAAATACCATTTGAAAGGAGATCTACTTAGGAAAAACAGAAAACTGGTACTGAGCTACACTTGCTAATGCCATGTGGGGCAGGAGTACACATGTAGGTAAATAACACAGAGGAAACAGTCTTGAAACAGATTCTAATGCATAAAATAACTGATTGTGAAGGAGATATGGCAAATCAATTGGACATGAATATATTATTTAGTAAATGTTGCAAATATTTTTATTTGGAAAACTAGTACATATTTTCACTTTATACTGTACTATAAAATAAATTTCAAATGGATTAAAGAGCTATTTTTAAAATGTAATCATAGAAGATAAAATTAGGTGAATAGATATGTGAAATCTGAAGGGCAAAATACTTTGCAAACATGAAATTAACGTAAGAAATTACAAGGGCAAAATGTCAATATATACTTTTGATGACATAATATCATGGACATAAAAATTACCCAAAAAGGCCAATAAATACTGAGAAAAATATTTGCAATAGTAACCTTACTGTATAAAGAGGTCATGTAAGTTCATATTTGATACATTAAGACTACAATATATAAATAATGTGTACATAAATCTATATGGACAAGTTCCAGAAGAAATACAAATAGTATTAAATTTACCTCTTTAATTCTCCAACCCAGATTAAAAAATAATTTGAACGAAAGTTCAACATTCTGAAAACAATTTGGCACTGTGCTTGGAAAACCTTGAAAAAAGACATTTTTTTTTAAAGATTTTATTTATTTATTTGATAGAGAGAGACACAGCGAGAGAAGGAGCACAAGCAGGGGGAGTGGAAGAGGGAGAAGCAGGCTTCCCACGGAGCAGGGAGCAGATGCGGGTCTGGATCCCAGGACCTGGGATCATGACCTGAGCCGAAGGCAGACACTTAACGACTGAGCCACCCAGGCACCCAAAAAGACATATTTTTTGACCCAGTAATTCTACTTTCAGAAATCTGTCCTAAGGCAATAATGAGTCAGTGCACACTAGTATATATATACAAGGACATTCGACTCAATGCTGGTAATAGTAGCTAAGCAAAAGGAGGTTCAACAGTAGAGAAAGGCCTAAGTGCATATATATATATATATGTATATATATATATATATAAGATGCATATCATTGTTGAAAGATTTTATGGTTATTAAAGCTGTATTTTTTAATTATTCTAATTATATGAGAAAATACATAGAATGATAAAAAATGTACAGTATGATCTCAATCTACAGTGTGATCTAAACACACACACACACATATATATATATATATATATATATAGGGACAAGGAAGAATAAAAGGAAATGCTAGTAAAATATGAATGGTATACATGTGGTGTGTACAGTTAAGAGTTATAAAGAATTTTGGTTTTTTACAAATTTTGGGGTTTTTAAACTTTTTCCTTTCATAATCAGAATTGCTCAAGATCAATTACTTTTTTTCAGGATGATGCTTCTTGAAAACTGTTTAGTTGAAAAATGGAGAGATCAACTCAGTAAAAGATCCATAGTAAGTATAATTAGCAACACTACCAATATGGAGTTAAGGGCATGTGAAGAAATTCTTTAGAGCTGGGGGATTCTTCACATTCTTCTATCTCCAGGCTCTGGGGTGTGGGGCCGTAATAGCAGCCCTGTTTGCCTTTTGAATAAGTAGTTAAGACCACAGCTATTCTGACTTGGAAGCTATAGCATCAACCTCTCTTCAGCCTCAGAGGTGATTTGGTTGCATTCAATACGGATCGACTGATTATTTCCAGGTTAAATTAGGTTGGTTTTTTTTATCTCTTTATGGTATTTTATTTAACTATTTTAGCGAAATCAGTCAGGTACTTGAGCAGAATTAACATCCAGAGGGCTTAAAACAGACATAGACACATAAGGGTGTGAATACGCAATTCTAAAATTCATTCTGTCTCTGGACAAAGCATAATCTTTCCCTGTATTTAAGATAATTTTGAGACTCTTGTCAAAATCAATTATCTACAAACTGTAATCATTCTTTGGCCAAATCCATGATTTTAGTGGCAACATCATGGAAATATTGGTAATTCAATTAAGGGAGTTAGAATAATTTTTTTGCCCAGAGATATGAGATTACACCAGAACTAAAGAAATCAGGTCATTGGTTGGAAATGTTTAAAGCGTCCCCTCTCCTGAAAATACGTTTAGATGTATCTAGGAGAATTTGTGTTCTCAGGTTCACGAAAGGTCTTACTACAGCCTGGGGCCTCTCAGTTTGCAAGGTAAAAGGCTACATTAATAGTGACTTAGGGAGAAGGTAGTTTGAACACAGCCTCTCCTACTCCGTGCATTTCGGAATAACATGACGGTCACATCTGAGCTAAAAACTCAGGAGCTGCTCAGCCTTACTGGACAGAAAATTCTAGCAGGATTGGTTATCCAGTTTCCAGGACTACCGTAGATTAGAAACATCAATGTAGAAAGTCAGTCCACCATAAGAACCTGAGAGGAAAGCAAGCTTTCAGGAATCACAGAGCTGTTTGGGCCATTCACTTTTGCAGCAAACATTCTAATATGCTTCAGTGAGAATTTGAAGCTAGCACCATGTAATAGCAAACCTGATGAGTTCATTATTTCAGAACAGACTAGACTTGTGCCCTGGGAGGGTGGGGACCGGGTTTCTCATTTCGCTGCATTCCTAGTGCCTCAGACAATGCCGGGCCTGTGGTCATGCTCAAACTCTTTGCTGAATGAAATACACTCTGACCAAGTAGGGGCGTATAGGTTATGCTAAAAGGCGATGTCTATTTAAGTGGACCCACTTTTTCAGTTTTTTCTTACATGCTGCTCTCAGTATTTCTTTATGGTATTAGTATTTCTTTATAGTATTTCTTTATAATATAAGCAGTGAGTCCTTTTCTATGAAGGAAACAACTATCCAGAAAGTCTCATTTCTCATCGGTTCTGGGTGGCTAACACTGAGCAGATTACTAGAGGCAGGAGGGGCTTCTGTCTTGGATGGAAGAGCATTAGGTGAACCCACCCACAAATGCGCTGGGAGATCCCCTGTCCTTCCTCGTGGGCTGGGTAAACTTCTGCTCTCTGCCATGTCAGAGCCTCTTTAGAAGGCGTTGCAGTGCACAAATGTCGCCGCACAGGGCCGCGGGGCAAAAGTGCCTGGCCTGGGGCCTTGGGCCCCGGGGTCAGACTGATGAATTTGGTTCCCAGCTCTGACGTTTGTCAGCTGTGTGACCGGCTGCAAAGGAGCCGTGTGTGCCGTTTCCTAGCCACCACCATGGTGTCCAACCTAGCAGGGCTGTTGGGAGCTTCCGTGAAATGGATGGGTATCGAGACTTCATCCCATCTTGAGCACTTTTCAAATCTTCTGGTGTGTGCCAAGTGCCCAGCAATGCAGGCTGGCGATTTTATTCGTTGTTGTCTCAACTCAGCTCCTACAGGGGGGAAAAAATGGCATCGATTCTGACATCAGTTTCCCAGCGTTACACAGTGCGATGTCTCTGATGGTCATGTGTGCAAATTGCCTCCCAGCAGTGGGAAGAGAGGCTGCAAGAACAGCAGAGGACCGTTCAGGACAAGAAGCGAACAGTGGGGCGTACCAGTCGTAGCAACACCCCGAAGCCAAAGGGAAAGCCGCCTGCTCCCAAACCAGCCAGCCCCAAGAAGACCATTAAAGCTAGGAGTGCCCAAAAGAGAACAAACCCCAAAAGAGTGTGAGCCAGCCGCCTTCCAGAACGGAGACTGCCTCTCAGGCCGAGGCCAGGCGCTGCCCAGCCAGCCTGGGGAAGGCCCCACTCCCCTTGCCTTAACAACTGCAGAACTCCTCCTACACACATCTTGAAGCATTTTTCTTAATGATCTGCTTCCATTTTTCTTTTTCAGCCACCACAAGCCGTAGTGGTAGGTATGTCCTTTGGTGTGGAAGGTCTATGAAAGCTGAAAGCTGGTGGACAAAGCTTCTGGCGGCATTCAGAGTAGCCTTTGTGGGGCCTACTCTGGGACATCTCTGTTTGGGGAAAAGATGCTTTTGGTTCTTACCATTTGACCTAATATGTGCATTGTAAAATAAATGCCATATTACAAACAAAACACTCATTTTTCTTTTCACAATATGTTTTATTTCAGTTTGACTTGTGCTGTTAGAAGGTTCGTGATATTCTAAGATGTGATTGAAAATACAATGATTCTAAGGAGGAAGGCAAGAGGAATGAATGTCTAAAAGATCTTTATGTGTTTGCTGTTCGCAGAAGAATTTCTGTGATGAAAGGAGGATATGGAAAATTGAGGTATTGAGGAACAATCTAGAAAAGCAGGATATGGAAAATTGTAATGATTTTTTTTTTTTACAAAGAACCCTTTCAGCTCATTTTTAGCTAGAAACCTTAAAAACTAAAATAATAATAATGATAACTAAATAAATAAAAGGGAAAGGCAGACACACCACATCTGGATCCTTGTTTCCTGGCTACCATGCCGGGGGTGGCAAGGCTCTGAATTCACATTCATGATGCTTCTCATTAGTAATCATTATGTGACACCAGAAACAGAATTCGTTTCTCTATTACGATTTATGCACCAGTGACTCAACCCCCAAGAATTTTACACCCCTGGATGTGGTGCTTATCTCATCTCCCAGGACATCCTAGGTATCTTGATGCCAAGCCTGAGAGAAATTTTCTCTCTGCGGAGAACTGGTGCTTAAGGTCCCGTGGGCCCAATGGGGGGAGGGCCAAGCCTCCAAAGTCCCTGCTTCTCAGCCCGCACTGGTACCCCTGCCACACACCAGCTCTGCGCTTGGAACGACAACTACAGTCACCTCTCCATTCAAGGAGGTAGAGGAACAATCTGAAAGCTGAAGTATAAAATCTCCTTTAGCTTTCCCAATGTCCCTGCTTCTCAGAGAAGGCATGAAGTGACCTGTCGTACTCACACAAGATCATTAGACACATAATCTCCTTTCATCTCTGTAGCCATTGAGACACAGAAGTGAGGTGTGTGGGTAAGCCCAGGGCAAGTGGAGAAATGGGGTTAATAAGAATGTGGGCATGGGCTCCCCTCTTCTCTGTCACTACCACAGGGCACTGGAGTTGGAGGAGTCCATTAGATGGACCCACATTAGCGTACCAATAAAATACTCAGTGTATGTTTCTGCTCCATTAGAGGCCAAACTTCTCTGGCCCTTAAGGAAAGCAGGAGAGGGGTTCAGCATAGCATCCTCAGCATATGCAAGGCCGTTAAAAGGAATTGGCAGCCTAGCCTACTTCCTCAGTGTTGTAGGGATTCTCTGGGGAGGGGAATCAGAAATGGAACTCTCCATGGAAGTGGAGAAAAAAACATATGTAAAAAAAAAGTCAACACCCTAAGTACAATCCTGAAGGTTATAAGAGTTTGGAGAGGACTACATATTTAAACATTGTTTAAATATTTAACTGAAATTGCATACTGAATATTAGATGAGTGTAATACTTCATTAGGAACATTAACACATTATACAATACTTAGCTAAGCACACTTATACATTAGACAAGATGTAACTGGGCACATATATCAGTTTGATTAAATGAGAAAAGATGAACCAGGCCACTTGATTTATTTATTATGAAAAAGTCAAAAGCAAACATCAGCCCACACTGAGGGTAATGTGACAAGTACAGTAGTGGCCTTTGTGTGAGAGCCAAAAGTTTCTTTCTCTCCCTTCAATATTTTCTCCATCGAAATACATGTGAGAGGAGGAAAATAAAAATATATGGAAAGGAAAGCTGAGGTATTGAAATGAGAATTGTTTGAGAGTTGGATTACTTTAGTGAGGAAAAAAATAACTTATTTTGCAATATTTGGATCAGCAAATCTCATAATTAAGGACAACTGCAGGCATTTATTTTTTTCAATAATTTTGTTGGTCTTTTAATAATATGGTAAACATGTATTTTCTATAAAGTATTTAATAAATGCATAAAATAAAAATAGTGGAATTAAAATCCTACCTTATCCTACTCATTGCTATGCAGAGGTAATCACTGTTCGTATTTTGGTATACAATTTTCCAGGTGTTTCCTATGCATTTATGTAATGATTTGAGGGAAAAAAACCTAGGAGCTTATTATACATACTGTTGATTAACCTTCCTTCTTCACTCAGCCTCTTATTCAGACTGGTTCTCATGTCAATAAAGCTGATTGCCACCTCATTTATAATGGCTCTGTTGTATTCCATGGTATGCGTTACTCGACAAACCCTTATGTTATTAGAGATTCAGGTTGTTTCTTAACATACTGAATAACTGAATCGACATCTTGATAACTAATATCTGTGCACATCCTTAATTAGTTCTTCAGGAGAAGTCAGTTTAAGTAGCGTTGCTGGGCCAAGGGGTATGCCCACCAAGGAAAGTTCTTGATTATAGTGCCAATTATCCATCAGGATGTTGGATCACAGATAGGCAAAAATGCTAACCTTCCAAATCCTCACTAAGATTGTTTCACCCTGTCAATATTTCTTTATAAATTTCAGCTGGGAACTGGATGTCACCTTGGGCAAAGCTCTGCTCTTCCTCTGTGAGCCATCACTGACAACATTCTCAACTCTCCAAATACTCAGAAGCTGGGGGATGAGTAATGAAGCACCTCATAGAGGGTAGAGTCGATAGAGAGATGATAAATAAGATAGAGAGATAGGTAGATGATAAATTTCTTAACTTCTGGGGAAAGCCTTTGCAAACTTCTCAATTTTTTTCATGAATCAAATTTAATAGTATAACTGGTCAGCTAGAGAAACCAAAGAATTAGGGTGTAGCAGACATGCCAATAGATTTCCCCTCAGTCCAGTCTTATTTTTAAGACACGTGAGAATATAAATAACCTTAGTTTCTTCCTTTCTAGTTGGAAACCAAAGCAGTGTAGGACACCTGGGTGGCTCAGTCGGTTAAGTGTCTGCCTTCAGCTCAGGTCGTGAGCTCAGGGTCCTGGGATCGTGCCCCACGTTGAGCTCCATGTCCGGCTCCCTGCTCAGCAAGGAGTCTGCTTCTCCCTCTCCTTCTGCCGCTCCCCCCCGCTCCTGTGCTCTCTCTCTCTTTCTCTCTCAAATAAATAAAATCTTTAAAAAAGGGAAGGAAGGAAGGGAGGGAGGGAAGGAGGAAGGGAAGGAAGGAAGAAAGGAACCAATGCAGTGTGAACACACTTTTGGTCTCTGTCCTTGGATGCTTATAGGATTGCCTATTACAAACTTATAAAAAAAACTCCTTTTCTTGAGCTAGCTCGAGGGTACTTCTGTTTGGTGGACCCAATCCCTGAATTAAAAAAAAGGGGGGGGCACTTTTTTTGCCACAAGTCTCTACCTGCTGTTATCACCAATTCAAAAAGCAAAAACGGTTACTTGGAATTGTGGAATGCAAAAGCTGAATGGGACCTTAGAAGCCACACTCTAACCTGCAGGAGAAAGGCTACACCAGTGCTTGTCTGATGCCTCACGTGTAGTCAGAGAAAGATCTGGGTTCCCAAACTTACTCAATTTCACCTTAACAGACCAAAGGGCTCTGGTTTGTCAGTAACATAAAGCCAGGCTATTAGAGGGAAGCCTCACGTTATCACCACAGGAAAAGCAATAAGAGAACAAATTAGTGCTTCTGGTTACAGAATGATATATGCCAATCCTGATCATAGTTCCTGACGGGAAAATATTTTTTTGAAAAGCATTTTACCCTGAAAGATATGTCATGGGACAGACATGCCAACCAAAAATTTTAGTTCATTGTGAACTTTGTGGCTTTTAACTGATAAGCACAAAATGGAGTTAACTGTCGAAGGATTCCATTGGAGGAAATGCCTGTGAGAGAGAACGGGAGGGGGATAAACAGGGCCTGCAGGGTGGACAGTGTGAGGGAAAGAGGGTTGGCGGGAAGCGCTTCAGACTTCCTTCACGCTTAAGGAGAATTGGGCAAGGCTGCGGGAAGCCGGACATCAAGGAGACCTTCAGTTCCCAGGCCCAGCTCTGTGTTCGCGGCCTGCCCCACTCAGTCACGGATGCGGACTAGCCCATGGCAGCCTGGTCTTGGCGCAAGGCTCGCTATGCGTTTCAGACTGTGGTGTCTGGAGACCTGGTTAGTCATGGTCCCTGTGGTTGGCGTCAAGCAACAAACGTCTCTTGTCAACTTCTATAATTGTCATCTCTAAACTATTTGAATTTGTAAAACCCCAAAACTTTTACGTCTTCATATCTTTATGCCTTCTCTGTTTTATTTCAAATTTACTGAAGGGAAAATGCTCCAATCACAACTACAGTCTTACGGAATTTACCCTTCTACCAGAGAGAGGTCTCTTGTACTAGAGTGTAAGGAATGGCAACGATGAGGTAATTAATGAGGCCATTCATGGCAGGAACTAAGTCCAGGATGTGTGATTTTGCCTTTGCAGGCCCACACAGTGTTAAGGGTAAGCATATAAGCATAGGCGCATCTAGCCCAATATTTGTATGAGATCAGTTTTATGACTGGATAATCCTGAAATATGTAGCTGCAGTGTCTAGGTGAGAACCACTTTATAATGGTGAATTTGGATCACATTAGTGATGAACATTGAAAAAGAAAAAGAGCATACTTTATTAGCAATTAAATTTAGGGAAGACTCATAACCAGAGGGCTGACTCCAAGTGTCACAAAGTTGGAAAAACATGAATAACATGATGAGGTGTAAAGAACTGGGATGAAGCAAAAAATGGTATCATGAATAAAATTCCGTCATGTATCGGGGGATATCTAAAATGCCGTTGTTGAATCAAACTGATGCATTTTTAAAATTCATTAACATTTTAGTTCTCTAATAATGTCAAATTATTTATGTCATTGGATTATTTCAGCAGCTGAAAATCACATGGACAATTGCTTAGTCAACTTTTCCCCTTTATTAAAAGCATTAAAAAACGGACTTTGGAGGTCATCCAAAGTAGTTTCCAAGGGATGAGCGAGTTCAAACACAATTCAAGCAGGAATCAGTATCTGGGCATCCACTCCAGTGAGCAGAAAGAGTAACAAGAGAGTCTGGGAAGAGGGCCACAGAATAGGGCACAGCATATTTTAGGGAATCTGTCCATTTTCT